AAAATTTGAGTTTTAGACTCATCTATGCTACTAACTCACAGAAATGACCTTGGGGAAGGACATCACCTGGACTTTCTGAATCTTTTTTTTCACATCTATCAAATAAGAGTTAAACAACCTCTAAGGGGTTTCTCAACTGTAAAATTAAAAGGGGGGAAATCTGGAATTCTATCCTCTCAATTATAATATAAACTCTTTATTGTGCTACTTTTTGAGAGCCAGAATGACTCCCAATAGAACTACTTTTATCAGTATTTCACCATATGGAGTTATTTTTATTTGAGGGCAGATTTTTTGACATCTAGTTTTTAAAAATTTCTATTGCATCAAACTATGAAATAATAACCAGAACGGATCATCACATGTGAAGAATTTTCTGCACTTTCTGAGAAATTGAAGACAATTATTTGATTTCACTTCGACTATCATATAATTCTGGGTCAACAGTAAGAATAATTAGTCCCCAGTTTTTAAATGCATGATATTTTAATCATGCATTTGTAAACTTTGCTTCCCAGTAATTATATTGTGACTTATTGCTACTATTTTAGAGATCAAGTCATGTTGATGTAAGGAGTGAAATAACAACATTGTTATACATTGGACTCATCATTTCTAGGGATGCAGTTTTATTCTCAACTATAAACAAAGGTAGAGAATAGAAGTTACCCTCCAAACCTTGCAGGATCTCTATGACAGACAAGCTGATACTATGAAGCTCAGTTTATTAGTCATTATGTTAATGTATTGTTATATAGCGACATAAAATGTCAAATGTATGCAACATTACTTAGAGTAACTTAACAAATGTTCCTGTCACCCAGTTTATAGACATTTGTATTTTATTTGTTTTAGATCTTTTTCTTTATTATAACCTTACTAATAAAGTTGAAACCTCCCTTTAACTAATGTATCTCATTCCTGTCCTTATCTCCCAAAGATAAAACCCCAGCATAAAAGAGTTAATAATTATTCACACCTAAAATCAAGAATATATACCTATATATAAATATATCCATATATATGTGTATATCCATATATACACACTAACTTTTCCATTTTATTTTTTACTATTATCTTGCTGGATATATCTTTCTAATTTTTATTTAGTAGGTAGAAGGTACTGATGCCATTAAACATGTGATTCTCTACAGGACAGCCTGTATGACTGAGGATAATAAGGATTATAACTGTTGAAGTTGAAAACCCTAATTAACAAAATGAAGTATTTTTATTCTATTGTATAATAGTAATTGTGTTAAATGGAATTGAAATCCTAATTATGTGTAGTTAGGTGAAAAGGGCAGGCATTCCACACCGTCTTGCTTCTCTGAAATTGAGAGACACAATGCTTTTAGCTTGTGAAGGGAAAAAAAAAAGGTATATGGGAACATTACTAAGGAGCACCTCTCCAAATAAATATTGGAGAACATTCTAATCAGTAAGTGCAGAATGCTTTTTTCCCCTTTCTTCTCTTACTTTAGCAAGAAAGTTGGGGATTTATATTTAACTTTCTGTAAGTATCTATTTTAACTTAATTGTGAAAATGTGCTAATCACTTAACAGCCAGAAATAATGTGTATTTTATAGTAGTAGGTATTTTTCCCCCTTTATGTCAACATCTGGATGCATGAGGAATTAGAGTGTAATTTAGAGAAAATGCTTGGTTAGCTTCTCTACTGAAACACAATTTTAAAATTAGACTCTTTAAAGACATAATTTATGTTCCATAAAATTCACACATTTAAGTGTACAATCTGATGGTTTTTTAGTAAATTTACTAAGTTGTGCAATCATCACCATAATATAGTTTTAGAATATTTTGATTATCTTAGTAAAATCACTTGTATCCATTTATGGTTAATTCCTATCCCCTCCTCTGTCCCCGGATTAGGCAACTGCTAATGCATCTTCTGTGTCCATTGATTTACCTTTTTCAGACGTTCCCCACAAATGGAATTATACAACATGTGGTCTTTTGTGTCTGACTTCTCTCTCAAACAAGTTTTATTTCTTTTTCACAAGAAATAGCAGAAATGTGCAATTATGGTTTCAGTATGAGGCCTTGGTGGCAGGCACTAAATTTTAGGGTGGGGCTTTTAATTGTAATAGTTTCATGCACTGAACTTGAACAAAGATCACTGAATAATACTTGGAAGCCACATGCTGGAATTAGTTGAGAACACAGATGTGTTCTCATTTGTGTGGATTGGTTTTCCAGAAAATACAAAATAATATTTTTAATGTTATCTCATTGAAAGTGACATGGAGCCTAACTGTGTTCATTATCCATGTTGAAAACTTGTCATGTAATATTGATATGTTTCATGCATTTGCTGCTAGCAAAGAAGCATATGATTATTTTTGGCAAAAATTATGTTTCATTTCAGTATACCTCAAAACATGGAGATGGTGTTTCATAAAGTATTAAGGAATTCTGAAGCCATCCACAAAGCAAAACATAAATGAAAATACTATTTAGTACAAATAACATCACATTTGGAAGTATGCATAGTCTGTTATTACAGAGGTAAACATTATTTACCTCATGTTTATTATGTTTTAACATGATTATTATTGTGTTTTTTTCCCTTGGATTAAAATAAATATAAACTCACCAAAACAAACTTGAAATACAGCAAATGCAAAGCACATACAAAATCTTACATAGCAGTAGAAATCCTCTATTAAGTTTTTTTTATGATAAGAATATTTTAAGATACTTGAGAAGAGAATATTAAAGTTTGTCACCCTTAAGAAAAGTAGCAGAGTTTCAAATTCAGTTGTAAAAATCTTTTTATTTCAAATTATTCTTAGGACAAAGACTATAGAATCTTGTTCTGCTATTGAGTATGCTGAATCACAGAAAATTTCAAGAAATCAAAGGAAATCATTTGGAGATTTAGTATTTTGCTAGTGCATTTTTAATTGATAATGTTTCTTTTTAAATTGATGCACAATTTACATACAACAAAATGTAGGGATCTTAAGTAATACATTCAAAGTGTTGTAACAGTCATTTACACTTTTATGATTAACATAGGAAACATAATATGCAAGAACGTCATCATTCTAGAAAGTTCTTTTGTGAAATTTCCCCTGCTCTCTCCTCCCCATCACTTTTCAGGCATCTGCTCTTAACTTCTATGTTTTTCCTATTTTAGAACTCCATATTGACATTTTACAAGGGTGCTTTATGACAGATTTCTTTTACTCATAATTTCGATGTTCAGATAATTGGAGCGGTTGCTAGTAGTGTGGTTTGTTTAGCCGCACCCTTAGTCTTTACCTATTAGATGTCATTAGATCCCCGATCTCTCTCACCTGTGACCACCAACACTATCTCCAGAGGCAAAGTCACCCTGATTGAGAACCTCTGAATAAGAAACACAATATATAAATTTTTCTCAATAAATGTATCGAATATAAAATCATCTACTTATAAAAATATTAATGCAGTGGGTAGTATATAGTCTTAGAAATCAGTCAATAGTAAATTCCAATTCTGATTCCCACCTTTCAAAGCTATGTGATCCAGAACAAGGGATTTGATCTTTCTACACTTGAGTCTTCTCATCTTTAAAATGTTTCTATATTACCATTTTATAAGGATATAATGAATAATTTTCTGGCAAAAATTTTGTTAAGTGTGCAGTAAAATTCTTCAGCGTAGAACAGTTCAGAAAATTCTTGTCCTTTTTTGCATGTATCTGCCTCCTATGATCTCTAGAATTTTGATGAAAATGGTCAGGGAAAGCAAAGTCACAAATAGATGGGCATAGAAAAGTAAAGATACTGTAACATAATAATTCAGTGAAGTAAAAGTGACATTTTTAAGGGCTTAATTGTCATTGGTACTCTTGACTACTTTTACACAAATATTTAACTCCCTGTAGTCTCATTTGCAAGTTGTGGACTCTCTTTGTCCATTTTGTTTTCAAACTGCAATTTTTTAATTTTCTTTCTTTTTCTGCTTATTGTGAGAAGAGCTTAAAAACTTGTAAGCTCATTTGCTAGCTATGTCTAGTTGACACTCTAAAATGTAGGCCTGTCTCCCTCCCCAACCAGAAGAGAATCAATTTGTGATGTTCAAGTCACTAAGCTTGCGGTAGCTTGTTATTGCAGCAGTTATTGCAGGGAATTAGTACAAGTGGTGAGCGGTAGTCAGGCCTTTTCAAAATGAAAGACCAGTCTACTTACAATTGATGCTACTATTTGAATCTGTCACATTCTTCGTTATATATCAAGCATTGGAGAACATTTAAAATCAGCTTTGGCCACAAGGCCATATCTCATAGATTTAAAAAAAATTGTTTTCCTATCTACCTTCTTGGTTTATTATTCATTTCAATTTCTGGGAAAACACTGTATCTAATTAATGGTTTAAAGGTATAAGATTTAAGTGTACTAAGTGGATTTATAATATGAAGTACTGGTAGCAGGCCTACCACAAAATTCAGTTATAGCTATTAGTTATTTTCATGATTGTTATTTTGCATTTCCATAGTAATTGAGGTTTATCATCTCTTCATATATTGATCATCTGTTTGAGATTACTTTTCCATGAATAACCCATTAAATCCTTCAGAGAAACATTAAAAGTATAATCATATTATCCTTTTATTTAACTTTATTTCTTCCTTGCTAACACTTTTTTAAAATCATGAATGAGCGTTGGATTTTATTAAGAGCTTTCTAGCATCCTATTAAGATGATCATAGTTCATCTTCTTAAAATCCATTAAGGTAGTTAAATACATTTTTATCCTCTTAAAAATATGTCATATTTATATGCTTGGAATAAACCCTAGTTGGTTGTAATGATTTTGTACATTGCTTAATTTAATTAGCTCATAGTTTATTTAGCATTTTTGTAGCTGTATTTATAAATAATATTGGGTTATAGCTTTTCTTATCAAGCTGTGTTTACTGGGATTAGTATGAAGGTTATACCAGCCTCCTTAAATAAATTTGAATGTATATGTTTCTTTTTTTTTTTTTACCACTCAGACAGTGTTCTCTCCCTCTCACTTTCTCCAAGGAGAGAGAAGAATGGTCATCAATGACAAATGGCAGTTACCGAAGCAACACCAAATGCCCGGCTTCACGCTCAGGAGAGAACACTCCACCTCCTCCTCGTGGTTTTGGGTGCTCTACACATTCAGAGAAACTTCTCTAGTAACAAACTATAGAAACGATCCCTGAAAGTATAGTCTTGAATGTATGTATTTCTTTTATATTCCTTAGTAAAGGTTGTATAAATAAACAGACATTTTCTGTTTCACGAGGGTTTGAAAAAAGTTTATTTAAAGTATGAATATAGTTTATATGTCACAGATTTTACATCTAGATATGGGCATAGAGATAGAGATCTAGAGAAGCTAATTAGGTAGGTAGATAGACAGGTAGATAGACTTACTACAGCAGTGATTGTTAGACTATGGCCTGCAAGACAAATCTGTCCCATAACACATTTTTGTAAATAAAGTTTTACTGGAATACAGCCATGCTCATTTATTTACATTTGTTTTCTATGACTGTTTTCATACTGCACAGGCAGTATGGAGTAATTGCAACAGACACCATATGCTTTCACATTTTCCAACATTATTTACTATCTGTTTTCTTACAAAAAATATGTCCACTCCTGGATTATAAAATCAATATATTTCAAAAATTTTATATTAAACTTTCTATTTATTATTGAGTCAATTTGACAATGTATATATTTTCCTGACATTTTTTCTTCCATTCAACTTTTGAAGAAAATATTTAGTGAATCTTTTCTAGATACTTTTCTAGACAATGTGGACGTAACAATGGATAAAACAAAATAAAACATTAACCTTGTGGAATTTATATTCTGAAATGAAATACAGACAATTAAAATATACTACACTAACAAATAGACACAATAGCTTTAGGTAATAATCAATACTAGGAAGCATGAAATGCTGGGCATAAAAGGTGTTTATTAAAGTGACTAGGCTAGGAAAACTCTCTCTGAGGATGTTACATTTAAACATATCAAACAAAAGAAACATATCTTCTGACTATCTTGGGAAAGAACAGGGAGAGAAGACTTCAAATACAGAGGTTCCAATATAGAAACCTCCTTGCTGTATTTATTATAGTGGAAGAACAGGAAGAAAGTCAGTATGGCTAGTACAGAGTGATGGTAAAGCAGAGTTTTAGAAGATGAAGTCAGAGAGTAACCAAGGGGCCTGTGTTATGATTCATCATTTTCTGAGTACAATGGGCTTCCATTTGTAGTTATGGTCATTTGTGGAGGGTAGACAGAGAACACAAGCCTGAGTCCTGGAGTAAAAATCACCCAGAGGAGGAGGAAAAGAGGGAACCACATGAATAGATATTGAGTGAAGTAAGAGTGGAAATAGAAATGTTTATTGTTTCAGAAGCAAAGCGATTATTTTGAAAAGGAAATTGTGATTGACTGCATTAAATATTGTTGAGCCAACTTTTAGATAAGGACTACAAATGACCATTAGATTCGGCAGTTTAGAGGTGATTATTATCTGTTATGGCAAAAGTTTAGGGCATTAAATGAACAAAATACTGTTGGAATACAGTCAAGAAGAATTATAGGTGAAGGAATGTAGGTGATTCATTTTCTTATAATTTTAAAATATGTTATATGTGTACCAATTTCTTCCCTTTAAAAATGGTGCTATTTTTTCTTTTTGATCTGACTTCCCATTGGTTACCCATATAGTGTTTTTCAAAAACCAACTTTTTTTTCTTAGTGTTTCCAATTAGTGGCATATCCATGTAGAATAATATATGTTTTCTCCTTCTGTGTACTTTTCACTTCTCAGACATCTATATGGGAGTAGAGGTTGGTGGAATTCTTTACCATGATAGCAATAGACTTCCACATGTTGACTCTCCTTTTTTATCCTTACACCTTCCAGACATTTATCATATGAATGGTCCATTAGTAAAGGTCGATCTTCTACTTGCTCAGTTGTGATCTTTTTTACCTTTTTCTTAAGATAAGTTATGCAATTAGAAAAAAGTAATGATTAAAGTGATCTGTCTAAATATATAGCAGTTATATCATGGTGTTCTTCTATAATTATTTAACATGAATTCTTCTGGAGAAGCTTGAATTTATTGGTGTTATGTTTATGTTCTAAGACTTCATTTACATGTGATTAAAAGATATAAAAATTCTACAAATTTTTATTATTGTTTAAGCACAATTGTTTCCATTTTTCTCCAACCATCCTCCCCAACCCCAGCTACCCCTACCTTTCACCCTCAATCCTACCCAACTTGCAATTAAAATAAAATCTCTTAGTAATTATGATTACATAATCTGAAGTAGTTTAGACTTTATTTCCTATTTATGCATTAATTAAAGTTGTTATTAACCAGTATATCTTTTGATTTAAATAAAAAAGAGAGAAGGAGAGAGGAAGATGGATTTATTTATGATGCAGCCATGAAGAATTAACTGCTAAGGGAACTATATATAATCTCATCAAAACAAAACAAACAAAACCCCCTGTCATACCATACCTAATATATGCAAAATCTATTTCCAGACATTAGGAAACAGCAATGCAAATTGTAGCCCCCAAAGTAAAGGAAAAACATGGTGAGCCCTATGATTATAAAGTTTCTGCCTGGAGTCATCTCTAGGCTGCAGGAGTGAAATGGAGTCCCAAACAGAACTCAGTCCTCTTGCTTAATTTAGGAGACAGGGATAGGAATTCGAGGAGCAGACTAAGTGGGAGAATGTACATAGAGCAAGCTCCAGTGATTTTCAAATGGACTACCTTGGCTTGAGTTCTTTTTTTCCCCCTGAAAACATTGGTAGAACTGAATGCACTGAGCAATTTATTTTACATTGTGTCTCATCCTCAAATGTAGATAAAAATCGTTAGAACTGAACCTTTGGAGTTTGCATAGCTTACATTTAGGAAGTGATAAATTAGTCATGAAATCACCTCCACTGTTTTATAGTCTTGTTACATAAGAGAAAGCCATGAAAAACAGCACTACATCTTGTGAATGAGCACTCCAGAAGAATACCTATTATGTTGCCCAAAGATATTTTCATTACTTTAAATATTTTCTCTTAGGATTTGAAAATCACAGGATCAATATTCTCTCTGCAAATTGATAGGCTCTTTCTTATCAAATAATGAGAAATGTGTAATCCATTTGGTCCTCATTTTTCCTCTTTCCCCCAAGCTTCCAGGATCAGAGGCTTTCCTGGTGTGATCTACGGGGCGACCTGAGATCCTCAGCCTGTGCAGGAGTTGGAAGAGGTAGAGCGCACAGAGCAGGTATTTGTTCTCTTTTTTACTCTTATTTTATGAATATAAATTAATTTTTTCACACAGAACATTTTGGGGGAAACTAACATTTCATTTCTATGAAAACATTAGTAATCACTGTTTAAATTCAGCTCTAAGTTGATTAACCTCATTTTCTTAAGTTTTGGTTAAAGCAGGGGTTATAAGTAGTACTACATGAGTAATTTCAAGTCATGATATGAATTACATCTTTATTTAACATTTATGTGATCCCATTTTTCTATTATAAAATGAAAATAATAGCTACATCCTAAAGTTGTTGTAAGGCAATATATACTTGGCACTTGGCGAGCATGCTATGAAACAGCGGCTATTGGTATAGATGTAGCCACTGGTTCTCAGTCTTGGCTGCAGAATAGGATCCTCTGGGGAGCTTGTAAAAGTTTAATGCCTAAGTCTACTCCTTCAGATATTCTTTTATAATTTTCTGGGGTACAGCCAGGGAAATGTGAGCTTTTAAACTCTCCAGGTGGTTTTAATGCCTAGCCAAGTTTGAGAACATGTAAATTAGGTACACTGTTTTCAAGAGAAAGAAACCCACTCTGTGGATCTTTAAGTCAAAAAGAAAATTCATGGGAAGGTTGTAATGTGGCCCCCAGTTGAAATAAAACAGTAGAGAACAACCTTTGGGTAGACCAGGCGATCCAGGAGCATGGGCTAAAGGACTGTCTCTTTAGAGGTAGGTCAGCCCTGGGGTATTTTTACACAATTGTCTCAAAACTCACTGTTCAAGTTTCCAAACTTGGGAGAGAGTATCACTGAACTGGCTTGGGCCATATTCTTCTGGATCCTTGGCTACGATTACTTGATTGCTAGACTCAAAAACACAAAGCACATAGTTTACTTCCTTTAAGATATTGAGATGATACTGCTTATCATCTCCTATAGAGTCTAGGACTATTGAATGAGGAAATAGCTCAAGAAATGCAGCAGAAGTAAGCAGAGAATGTGTTATAAAGTAAAAAGAAAAAGTCCTGTCTTGGTGGAAGCTTAGAGTTAATTAACATAAGCATTGCAGCCTCTCAAAACAAACAAAAATAAAACAAATAGTAAAAATCTTTAAAAAAAAACCTAAAACAAAAAAAACACAAAGCACAATGATGGAGAGGCAATTCCTCCAACAGGGCTGAGGTGTGCTTTAGAAGAAGAAAATGAGACTGAAGAGCAACAGCCTAAAAAAATTAACACACACACACACACACACACACACACACGATACCATTACTACTGGTGTAACAACCTTCCTTATTTCTAAATAATTTTTAAATTATAGAACTGTACATCTATATTTTACTAGTTACCAGTTCTCAGCTCTTAAAAAAATAGCCCAGGTAGTGCTTAAGAAATGGTATTGCTTTTTAAGTAGGTGCTAATAAATGAAGCAGAGAACAACTGATGGCACAATAGCTGTGTAGGACTTCAGTGACTGCACAGATTCTGTGTCCTGACTCCTATTGTTCTCAGTGCATGAATGATAGATATTCAGGATCATCACCCCCATTTCTATGGTAATTGAGTTTGGACACCCATGATTCACTTCTGATGTTGTATGTAATCTGAGGTATCAGTACTACACGGTGTGAGCATGATGCACCAGGAACTAGGGAAGGGGGGCATTTTATAAGGGGAAGGCACATAAACGGTTGCAGGCAGGGGAGGTAAACCTCTTATAGCCAATATTCAGGAGAAAAAAATTAGAAATAACACTGGCCTGATTTAGCGACAGAGATGAAGGGACAGACTTGAAATATGTTTGCAAATCCTTAAAAGATAGAAACACAGTTGTGGTCGCTATTTTAAGGGCTAGAAAAGAGTAAAGTCATAATACCTTCAGAGATAAAAGTAAAAATAAAGCTAAAAGGAATTTTAAAT